TATATATTTGCGTTGGCAGGTCATTCCTGAATACAAACAAGATCACAAGACATCAGAACTAAAGAGAAAATCACTTCAATTTGATCTCTATAGCACTTATTGTAAAGAGAAGTGCTTTTAGAAATTTCAAGAAAAGAGACAAAAATGAACTCTTGGGTTCGCCTTTTCATAGTATTGGCAGCTTGCCTTTTTCCTCTTGTCGTTGAATGCAGGATTCGACATTACAAGTTCAATGTAAGTACTCTTAGCACTGTTGCATCAGTAAACAACAATGCAAGTTTCTTGATATTACCATAGTCACAAATGTTGGATAATTTGTATTATGGAAGACATATACTCCCCTGTCTCAATTTACGTGGCACACTTTTCTTTTTAATTTGTCACAAAAACAATATCATATTTCCATATTTAGAAACAATTTAAGTTTAAATCTTTTATTTTACATATAGTCATACAAATATTTAAAGCTTAGATCGGAAGTTTCAAAAGTCTTTATTTCTTTTTTAAACTTCGTGTCTAATTAAACGGTACTACATAAATTGGGATGGAGGGAGTATGTTATAATAAGGCTCTAACTTTTTGACATTATGTTCTACAAAGGAGAATGTTGTTGGCACTTAAAGAGGGGATGTTTGATTTGGAAAAAATCACAACCAATTTCAGATAAGTGTGATAACAAGCATAATATTCCCTATATATATATATATCCAAAGTCAAAGAATCAATCTTTTTAGAAAGCGTTCTGCATGAGTTTATATTTAAATGGAGTACTTATTTTCTTCTTCTTTCAGTATCAATTTTTCCAGCAATAAACAACTTAAGTTTTACATTCAATCTGCTACAAATGTGAAGAGAATCATCTTTTCTAAGTTTCTTGAAATGATTAGTTAATCAATAAATATATATTGGTCCTATTTTCTTCTAGAGAAAAAGGAATTTTCTCCTTTTCTTTTGCCTTAGCAATAATATAAAATAAGGAAAACCAGAAAATTTCCATCCCACTATTAACAAACTGTCACAAAGTCTATTAATCCAGAATGATTGGCTCTTTTAACTGTTAAGTAGATTTCTCGAACTCTAAGGCAAACAAAAATTAGGTAAAAGAAAATTCCAATTAACAAAGGTGGTTGGTCTATAAAAACAAACCAGTTGACGCTAAGACAAGCAAAATCTTTATATGTACGATCAAAATAATTTGTCAACTATACATGAACAATGTATAGTTATAATAATGTAAATTGTTGCATGGCAGGTGGTAATGAAGAATACGACTCGCCTTTGTTCATCAAAGCCCATTGTTACTGTCAATGGAAAATTTCCAGGACCTACAATCTATGCTCGGGAAGAAGACACAGTGCTTGTCAAAGTTGTTAACCATGTCAAGTATAATCTCTCTATCCATTGGTAAGTCATCTAATATCTACCGGTTTAACTTTTATACAATGTGGAGTCAGGATTTTCCATAAGGGGATTAAAAAAATACAAAAAGAATTTACACCTGAGATCAAAACTTGTGACATAAGCAATTTTTGACTAACAACTGTCACTACACTAGAATCTTCCCTTATATATATATA